AATTTGAATGCTAAATTTACCAACCTGATATATGCCAAACCTCGAGGTTCTCGTGTATGATAGTGAACCGGGATATGAACATCATGTACTGGACCAATTCGTTCAAAGAAAAAACGCAAATCATCAGCTCTGATAATCATTACATCTTTTATCCGTAAAATTAATCCGGTTCAAGACTTTTTTCAAATAAAAGAACAAGAAGTTACGCAACTTTGTGTTACACGTTCTTTTACGATGATAAAAGCAATAATTTGCAATGTAAGTTAATTAAAGTTAAAAAATTCAATCAAACCAATTTTTTCAAATAAATATAGATCTTAAATGAAACACAATCAGAAGACAAAAGTATTTCTACAATCAAAAATCATTTTCTTTTTTTCTGCTTTTAATCTAAAAGAGAGAAGCAATTTTGAGCAAACAAAGTAAGCACAAAAAATTCATATGAAAGTTAGTAGAGATAAAAATAGCTTAATTAGTCAGAAATTTACTAGCCACTACACACCAACATCAAATGATGACTGATTGTTCTAGCAATCAAAATCATTCAGTACTTACTACTACAAATAATCTCATACCAAACTTGGATTACTCTTAATTGTTTAAAACGAATATTAAACTTGGATTACTCTTAATTATTTAAAACAAATATTATTATGATAAACTAAAATAATTTTCCACTAAAGCAAATTATGAAAGTAGAAAAATACTAAATTAATGGAGTAAATATGAGAAAAAATTCATACCGAATGGAGTAATGCAGTTGTCGGACGCATATAGTGGGCATTCCTTGGAACTTATCATAAAATAACCTACGACTTGACATCTAAAATGAGTAAAATGGCATAAAGTGGTTATCATGGATATCTTATAGTCTATACCTTACTTTTCTGCATGAATTATGCAAATCTAACCCAAATAATTGATGAATTTAAAAACAAACATTCAAGCTTTTCTTTAAATGCATTAAAGCTATTTCGCTACTAGGGGGCAAAAATGAACTTTCAACTATTTGTTTCAGTGGAAAATTATTTTACTTCAGTAAGCGTGGTAAAATATGGATTTGACGCGTTATTTTATTTTAATAATTAGTACGTGATTACTTTAGTAAATACCACTACAGCATTCTAACAGGCATGATACGGAATGAATTTGAAGCATTACTAAAATGTGTATATTTTACTTTACAAGTGTGGTGAGCTATAAACTTGAGGAGTATTTTACTTACATGAGTATATCGTAAATTAGTGGATATTACTTTAATACTTTAATGCAGTGGATATATAAAGCCAAGATTCTATTGGTTATAATATATAACATGTAGAATCTCCACATAATACAGAAAGTAAAATACTGCTTAAATAATAATGGCGAAGTATAAATCATAGTTACAGTTCGTATTTTTTACAATACAACAAGAATTTTTCTACAAATAGGCATAGGGCATAAAGTAGCACATGTCACCTAGGATTTACTGTGAAGTCTTTTGAAATATGATATAAAACAAATATGTTAAACACTGTTTAATTTTTTTTTTTAGAAAAAATTTCAGGTCACTTCAAGTTTTAAGAATTCGGTAATTGAGCAGAGGAAAATGCTATGGGTTCAAATACGACACAAGATAGCGATGTAGATGATTACATGTCTGATACGTTTACAGCTGTGGATTTACGACCAGGTTCGCTAAATTACCGAATTCTCAAATTCTTGAGCTTTAAAATGGGAAAATTTATGTGCGGATTATCTTTTAATGATTTTCTTCATAGAAGTAGCGTATATTTTAGCTTAAAAGTGTCAGGAAAATGTTTTTTCTTTCAATCACTTTTTCTGTGTGATCATGTCGTAGTACCAGTCTGAATTATAAAATAATCGTAATTCATATATGAAGTTATTATATAGTAATTACTTGGAAATATTTTATGGCTGGAGAAAGAAAAGCTTGCGGTTGAAAATATAGTTAGAATATAGGATTAATCAAAACTTTTATTGGTAGTTTTTATAGCATAGAGGAATTTTCCTTCCGTGTTTCCATTCAAACTTTCTTCCAGGAATTGCAAAAACACGTAGTCAAAAGCGCAGTTTAGAAATGGAAGCAAAGCAAGCGAAGAACATCGAGTATTTACAAAAAATACCAAAGCGTTCGGAAATAGAAAAAAAAATGAGAGATGATGCACTAGCGCAACCTGTTAGTGAAAATTCGAAAGGATTTCTTTTGCTGACCAAGATGGGTTACAAGCCTGGAATGAGTTTAGGCGTGGAAAAAGATAGTAATGAATTCATTTTTCAACATTTGTGGCATGAGAAGTGTGTTGAAAATTTGTCGAGCTGAGTTCTCAATTCGAACTGAGTTTTAATTTGTTGCATTATTTTAAAAAAAGTCTTTTAAAAACATTAATGTTCTCAAAATACTGGAATACGATCACAAAACAAAAATCATGCGAAACATCCTCAACTAAAATGACTAAAAACTGAACAGAATTTTAAATGTCTGGGAATTCCTAATAATTTTGGATTTTTAATCAGTTAAATGAGAAGCCAAACATCTTAATTAGTACCTATAAGGCACATAATATTTTGTATAAAATATAACATTTTAATATAGTCTTGCATATTTATTCTCACATATAATAAAATAAACTTGGATAAATCATTTCGAATTGATCGGAATAAATGCGTTTTAGATCGTAGTCAAGGAATCAAAGTACCGTTAGGCCTTGAACTCAAACTCAATCGAACCGGACTGGGGCACGATGCCGAGGAAGATAGGAAGCGAAATCAACGTATGGATCGGTATCAGAATGCTGTATTACAAAGAGCGAAAGCTAATGTTAGTTATTTGGAGCTTCTGTCCTCGAAAATTAATTTCAAGAATTCTGGAATTGTAAAATCTTCATGAGATCTGTTATTTCAATCAAATAATGTCAACTTTCACTTTCAGACATCTTTAATTTTGTGTTTTGTAGACTGCTCTTATTAATGACTTTTCGGTGCGAAAGCGGAGGATGGCATATTTAAAACAATTGCAAAAAGATTTATGTTCAAGCCGTAAAGCATGTCAAGAATTAGATGCGAGGTTATGATCATCATATATTTTTTTGCGGCCAGTTTCTTGCGTGGATAAAGTTGTAATCTGTGGATTTGGCAGCTTCAATTTTGATTTTTTTCCAGAAAAGGCTTAGAACTGCCAACTAACTCTCATTTTTGGCCTATATATGAAGTAAAGAAGGAAGAAATTCTTTCACTGGTAGCGAAAAAAGAAACAGAAGAAACTGAAGATATTAAAGAAAAAGTATTCACGTATTTCAATGGAAAAATGGCACCTACAGATTATGCATTTGAAGAGCTGCTAGATGAAGATGTAGTTGTACAATGGTATTTCGGTTTTGAAATTCAAATTATTTTTAGCTAATAATTTAGTACCTTTAGACATGTCAAAGTTCTGCATAATATTTGTTAACATGTTTCAAAGTTTTCAACTTACGACCAGGAGTAATTATAGGTTGAATGAGATTACGATTTACCTTCGCACTTCCTACTTCTATTGCATTTGGTGTGGAACACAATATGATTCAGAAAATGAACTGCTGAATAATTGTCCTGGAAACTCGAGGAAAGATCATGAAGGCTCTGATGAAGATAATTAAAGATATATCTCTTTTTAAAAATATATTCTTCTTCTTTAAAGTATATGTCGGTGATTTTTATGGATTATTAAGTATAAGTATTTTTTTATTGATTACCTTGTTGAAACCCATTATTCCAAGATTTAATAGATTAATATTGGAATTGAAAGTTCATAAGATGCTTATGCAAAATAGTTTATGCCGTAAATCCAGTAGTTGATTTTCTGACAATTTTTTCATTTGCTTCCTGACATATTTACAATTTTCTAATCGTAAGTTATTACGGGCTCATTTGCGCAAATTGACTTTATGTGTTTGTTCATTTCTTATTATTGTGATTTTGCACTCTGCATATTGCGAACTTTGAAAGATTGAAATAAATTGTGGCCATTTAAAGCAATATAGCTATGTATTTAGTTGAGTAATGCTGATATCTTGGTGGTACGATAAAGTGTGCACAATTGATTAATTTTTAAGATTTGCCACCAGTTATAGTAGAGTGAATTATAGTTAGATTTTGTTCTTTTCTCATATCTTACCAAAGCTAGTTTAAGAATAAATTACTAAAGTAATTTTAACCACTGAAAACCGAGTTCTGTCTTTGCATGAACTTGTAACACCACGCTTCTCATCAAATGTGATGTTTCAGTGTTGTTATTGCTGATTTGAAGTGTGTGTAACACTTGCACAATTATTCGTGAAGAGGAATTGTATTTCTTTGAAGGGAGATTACTCACTACTTATTATAAGTGGTATTCTGGAACATTTTTCAAGTGAACGTTTCGAGTATGTCCGTAACATCGCTCAAAATTCTTGTTTGTGGTGATGTAAATGGCCATTTTGATGCATTACTGAAACGAGTGAATAACGTGAATAAGAAAGTAAGTCTCGCAGTATATTTAAACATTTTGTGTGATATATTTTTATTATTCGAATATATTATAAAATATTTTTTTTTGCAACGTGGACTAAAATATTTCAATGATATGTTGCATCTGATATTTTTAAATTTGAATTCAAATATTCCAAAGCATCAGAACTGACTTTGCTGTTAATTGTTTTTATCGTGATGCATTTCAGGTTTATATATAAAATTTCTTATTACTTCGCCTATATCTTAGTTATCAAAATATTTACTGATATCATGGGTATTTGTTTCTTTAAACTTTTTGGAGAGATTAATTTTTATAGTTCAAAATGATTTAGTATTTTAAACCGAAAATAATCCTTTAGTATTTTGAATTCTTTATATTTTGAAATTTTTTTTTGCACATTCAGTTGTATTGCTATGATGTACTATAATTCATTGATTATATCACAACTTTACGAATTTAAATATCACGCAGTCATGCTTAATAATTTTTCATCTTTTCTAAACTTGAACACCCGGATTAGTGTATACTGGTGCAGTGTATGGAAATTAAAGGTACAAAATAATTTCATGAGGTTCTCTGAGCTTGATCATTGAATTATGAATTGTTCATAATAAGCCTGAGAATATTTTATAAAATAAATTAACTATTGTTCAGAGTGGTCCATTTGATATGCTCTTCTGTGTAGGAGAATTTTTCGGTCCTGACAAAGAATCAAATGAACGAGTTATGTTTGGTGAAGTGGAAATGCCCATTTCTACTTATATATTAGGTGTTTGTTTGTTTTTTAAATTTAATATTTTGATTTTGATATGTCAAATGTAGGTTTTGATGATCTCTCGAATCTGCATCTTTTTATTAGTATTTGTTGTCAATAATGGCTCTATTCAATAATAGCTAATCGCTATTTCTACGCTTATATTCTATGTTATTTTCTTGTTGTCAAGTACAGATATTTCTATTTGAGATACTATCATTATTAACCAAAAAACAATTGCTAATTTTATTTGCAAGTTCAAAACATTTGTTTGCCATAACAGATTCTAAGATTTGTTCCTGCGAAACTAATAAAAATCATGAAAGCAGGACCATGTTCCCCGTCGACATCACAGTTTTATCCAGAAGATGGCAAAGAATATGCAGCCAATTTAACATACCTTGGAAAAAGAGGTATATTAAATACAACAGGTGGACTTCAAGTGGCATATTTGAGCGGAATCGAAGGTGCTGGGGATCTACCTTTTCAAGTAATTTTAAAAGGATTTTTGAGATAAATGCACTGAGAATTCAAAATTATTGAGCACTCTGTTTGATCTTTAACTGTTGACTTGAATAAGCTGAGGATAACAACCTTATAAAATTCAACCATCATGATGTTTAAGTTCAGTCAAAACGATGTTGATGACCTATTAACCTATGTCAAGGCGAGCACTGGATTTCTAGGGCTCGACCTTCTGTTTACGTCAATGTGGCCAGCTCAGGTAATCACTGACGCATTTTATTTGTACACTTTTCAAGCCATATTTTTTCCGGTGACTTTCTAGTTCTATCAAATTTAAGATTTCCAAGTTTTCAACGAACTGTCCCAAAATTGATGTTGAAGGAAGTTCCATTTTATCGCAGCTTGCTGCAGGCTTAAAACCTCGTTATCATTTCGCTGGAATGGGGACGCATTACGAACGGACACCATATAGGTTATCACTGAAATCTTTAAAATAAAGTTGAATTATTTGTTAAACAGTTATTTTAGTCCTTTATCTTAGAACTAATTCGAGAACCTTTTTTATGGTTGCTTTGATTTGGAAATAATTTTAGAAATCATCGCCTCCTACAGGAAGCTGCTCAGCATGTCACGCGTTTTATCGGACTGGCTCCAGTAAATAACCCAGATAAAGATAAATGGCTCTATGCATTTTCTATAACTCCAATTCGAAAGTTGTCAAGAACCGAACTCACGCTACAACCAGCTAATGCCACAGAGTTCCCATATATGGAGATCTTGGCACAGATGATTTTGAAGTATATTTTGTTAAAAATTGCAAAGAAAGTAGGCTGAAACTGTATAAAATATTAAGACCTGGTGGTGGTAATTCTGAGCATCTTTCGTTGTCTTTTACGCATCATCTCTTCTACGAGAGTAGAAAAGTCAGCATTTAGCCTAAGAATAATGAAAAAAGGTGTAAGGAAAAATAAAAATAAATGTAGTATTAAGTCTAAAACCGAAAAAGAGCACTTTGTGATAGCATTAACTGACATAATTCTAAATATAAATTTATAACATCTAAACACAGTCATTAAATATTGATACAATTTTTATTCAGGAAAAGAGAGACTGCTCAACAAAGTACTCCTGACAAGCAACAGTACTTTTTTGATATGTCGGTGGAAGTAGACGATGAAGACGATCGCGGTGGTAAACGACGAAGAAGAAACGGTAAGTTGTAGCATGCTCCAGCTACTTTTTAATTTGTTTGATTGGAAAGACATAGGTATGCTTCAAATTTGAAAATTTAATCAAAAAAGCATCAATAATTGATGGTTTATGGGTTCTAGAAAATTCAGTGCAGCCAAAAATTCAACAACCTTGCTGGTTTTGTTTATCAAATGTGGATGCAGAGCAGTACTTGGTAATATCTGTATCTAATGAGTCGTATTTAGCAATGCCAAAAGGACCTTTAGTAGATGACCATACAATGATCTTATCAATTGGTAAGCTGATATAGATTACATTATGTTCGATGAAATTACTAGCAATATTGAATATAGCAGTTAGACAATGGTGTTTATCCTTATGTCGTTTAAAATTAGCAGCGATTTGAATGAGACGCAAGAAAACATCAAGTACAAATGATACAAGTCACTTTATAGGTCACATACAGTCGATCGTTGCTGCTTCGCAAGCAGTTCGAGATGATATCAAAAAGTATAAGGACACTTTGACCTTGATTTACAATAGATGCAATAAAGTTCCCGTATTTTTCGAACGGAATTATAAAACACAGCATCTCCAGGTTGACCTCTACATCGAAGTATTCAGTGCTAACATTTTATTGCTTTCGTGCTAGTGTTCTCACTTTTCATTTCCTATAACTGCTCCCTTACTACTTCAAAAAGTACAAGTCAGACACCGAATCCTGCTTTAGCCGATTATGATTACAGTAGTTTTCTGCAGTTACACTCAACACGCGTTTCTCATAAGAAATTATAAATTATAAAGGTTGTCACCAAATCAGAAGCCCCAATAAAGTGAATTGCAGCTGCAAGTTGTCCCAGTCCCTAAATCACGTGCGAAATCTCTACGAATTTCATTCCTGAATGCTGCCCGAGTGAAGAATATTGAGATGGTATCTTTGAAGGAAGATGAGGAGGTCACTTTATAGTGTTTTCACACCTAAAAATATCTGCTCTTGTTGCTGTGTACATTTTCACTACTTAAAGATTTGGGACGTTGTGAATGAGGGTATTCCCTACTTCATCGTTGAACTTCCAGATGGTACTCGGCTATACTCATCGAAAATGAGTGGTTTCCCATTACAGTTTGGACGAGAAGTAAGAAACTGTTCAAAAGGAACAGTTAAATTTTGATATATTTTAAGGATCCTAAATCCTGAAAAGGAAATAAACGAATTTATAAACTAATTCTATAAATTTATTTCCATAAATACATGAATTCCAGGTACTAGCAGGACCTGCACTCTTGGATTGTGAAGAAAAAATTGACTGGCATCAATGTCAATTAGATAAGGACGAACAAACAAAACTAGTTGACCAGCTGAAACTGGCTTTCGAACCTTATGACTTCACAGCCGAAGATGAGTAATGTTATGGAAATAAATGTGCTAAAGAAAGAACAAAATGCTGTATTTCTAAAAACCTAACAGAAAATTCTGACAACATGACTTGCAATTTATCAAAATTGTTTTTTCCACAAGAATCCTGGTTATGCATATTCAACATTTGAATTATGTATAAAAAACATCTGCTTGACTGCAAACGCTCATAAACAACTGCATGAATATACGTCTTGCAACACAGTAACCGAATTTCTCTCTTTCGCAGGATTGGAATCGAAACTTGATTTTCCCTTCAAAATATTCATAACGTATTCACAAATGCGTTATGAATATTTCGAAGGGAAAACCATGCGTTATGAATGGAGGAAAGAAATTCGGTTACATTGCAAACAGTAACATGCGCACTAATTGCATATGTATTCATAGTAACCAACGTATAAACATTAATTATAATAATGTCCTCCAAAATATTCAGTAAAGTGACAAGACAGTTAAAATCTAAGCTTATTATTTATTCAGGAGTACATTTATTACTGTTTCGTGTTGAAATAATCCTCTAAGTGATAACTTTAATTGGTGCTGCACTATTCAAGATAAGCATGTTATTGCTTGAGGAAGAATGGGAATACAAACAGTGTGCAAAGAGCAATAATGAAAACGAAGTAAAGGTTGAATCGAGAGGGCTCTATAGACATCTAGAAGAATCGTAATGATAGTGAGATAATTTTATTCATGTCTCCAGTCGGTGCCACTTTCTGGAGCAAGCTCCAGAGCTGGTCTTGGGATATATGCAGCAGGTTTGTGAAGCTGTACAAGCAGTACCTACATAAAATTCAAACATTTATTTAATCAAAATAAAATAAGCAGCCAAACCCCTTACCGCACACATGATTTGTAATGAAAGGATGTAAAAAATACAGACACGGAATAATAAAGGAATTTTTTTACCTGCGCCATAAGTACCCACTTCTTCTTTTTAATGCAAGGACTGAGCTGAATTTTCATCTTGTTCCAACCATTAATGAGAGTGGTCACATATACGAAGCCTTTGGGATTATAAGTCAAAGATTCTACTTCTGTCTCATTCATTCGCACATCGATAAAAGGACTATCGCCCCACATACGTACCCGCCACTGAAATCTTTTTGAGAAAGTAAAGCGAAAACGCAACAAAGTAAATCCGTGCTTAATTACTTCTTGAAAATAATAAACCCTGATCTAAATGCTTCAAGAAGCTCCATTCAGAGATTCAGAGGTAGCCCTCTTCTCATTAAAGAAAACAGAAATTTAGCGTTACATAACGAGCACTGCGATAATCCAAAATTGCGAGTAATATCATATATGCATAGCGGTCATTGGGGAACCGGAAAGTCTCATGATGAAAGCCTATTTCTGTTGTCCAATCCGTTGATTCCAATTCCCACACCGCTCGGACTGTTATGGGAAGAAGTGTCCTCTTCACGGTAATATCTCTGAAAATAAGATTCGCCAGCGTAATTTTCGGAATTAATCCAATTAAATTCAGAGTACTTTCCAGCCCTAATTAGAAAATCTTATCACCTTGGAGCTTAATATCAAAAACACAACTCCTGACACAACTTGTGAAAGTATTCAAGCTCATTTAAAGACTCAATCTTCACAAGAAATTAGAGTACGATTAAATACATTAACATGCTTCTCGAATTAGTACATATTAAAGGAATGCAAACTCAGTTTCATAAGAAATCTGAATCTCCATTATAAACTGTAATCCCTAGGCCCTCATGACTACAAATTTAGAACAATTCTACTCTGGACAATCTTATTCAGCTCACACTTGACAACCCTATCCAGCACAAGTTCAGTAACAAGCAATTTATCTCCAACTCCTGAAAATAATTTCCTCACATTCGTTTTCATATTATTACCAAAATTTCTACAAGTCAAGCAAATCTCATGGTAAATATTTTGGCATTTCTTATATAAGCAATAAACCAACATTTTCCATTGCTTCTTAAAAGAAAAAGGTCGCGCTCTTTTTACGGAGCTACGTAAATTATACTTTAGAATACTGAAATGACCCAATGCATGTGCAGATTTCCATATGGCTCCTCAAATATGCTGTCATAGCAATCACTGTTTGTTTTGGTTATGAAGTAGTAAAATTTTAGAAATTTAATGTTTAACTTTTTTGATAAGCATTTGTTGATGAAATATATCTCAGAATTAAATGACATTTTCCCGCACTGTCAATAAGTGACAGCTTCATCTTTTAATATTCTAGTCTCAACGAGCATAACGACAGGTGTGGAGATTAAATATAAAAATGATTGATTATGAATTCTGAAGTGAGGCCCGATACATATTTCTGACCTCATTCTTCAATAAATTATTTTGAATCTTCTGTATTATTGGCAACTATTCACCAACTTTGAGAACATAAATTTTAATAAATCCCTTTTTAAAAAACCCTGAACTTCAAAAATGTCACTGAGTATAATTCATATCCACCCATTTTCGCTCTTTCTGTGTTGGGAAAGTTTTACTCTACTACCAATACACCAAATTTTGAAAACATAAGAACTAATAGATATTTGAGTACAGAAACTTATTAACTTAAAAAGAGCAACGTTATATTTCATTTTAACTGTAGTTAATTTCTGTTTTTTCTTCGAGATTGCCTTCACAGATAATTAATAATGGATTCTTATCTGAATTTGTTTTTTTGCTAGCTTTCACATCCTCATACAAGTTTTTTTTTTGCAGAATATGAATTAAAAAATGAGTTTGTAAAAATTTATCGTCCATTGACGTGCACCTCTCCCTCCAATATTGCTGAAATATGCATCATTAAACACCAAACTTTTAATATGTAATCTTTCTACTAACCAGAACTTTAGTCATCTGACCAAGTACTTATAAGTAAAGAGAATAATAAAAAACACAGAGGTTAAAATTAGTAAGAAATACGAAAGATTTATAGTAACTTACACCAAGGTCTTCATCCTTGCCTCATCAAAGGCTTCCGAAAGACGATGTTGGTGTTCGACAAGATTTGGAATATACCTCAAAATTAAATGTGACATGAAGTCAAAGCTACAGAAATTTGATGTTTTCCTTTTCATATTGAAATTACTAGATTCAACGCCTTCGATTTGCTACAATATGAATAGCATCAAGCTTGAAAGAAAAGAATGAAAATCTAACCTACAGATTAAATACTGTGGGTTGAGTTTTTATTTCTGTTTCGATAAGATTTTTACCTGTTTCGATGAGGAGACATTCGTTTAATTACTTCATTAACATCAGCACCATACTCTAGAAGTAAATATATTGTTTTCGTCACTTCAAAATGCGAGGTACGAGCAGTAAGAAGAGCCAAGTGAAGTGGTGTTTTCTTATCTTTATCCTCCGTATTTACCGGTGATCTAAACATTTGTAAATGGAATACCATTACCTGCATATAGCATAATGCACTATCAAAATGTAATCTTTCTACTAACAGAATTAAAGCCACCTGACCAAGTACTTATAAGTTACTTATATTAATTAATAAAAAACTCATATGTTTAAAGATTTAGAGTAACTTATATTAATGCATTAGATAGATTAGATCAAACGGATCATTCGATATGAACAGGCTCGTCAAGACTAAAAAAAATCAATTGCAGTAGAAATTCTTGTTTGAATCAACCTCAATTGTAGGAGAGTCTTGACACGACACCAAAATTCGCAAGATATGGCAAAATGTAGCGGGATTCGTCCTCTGGTATCATCTGGTATATCTAACCGTGCACCGTCACGCACAATCTGCCGTAACATGTCATCGATTTCGTGAGCTGGACCACAAGGCCTTTCGCACAACTTGAGGAAGGAAATTATTCCATTATTCTACAGCATAACCAAGAAAAGAATATGATGAAATTTCAAGAACAGCTATACCTCTATTGCTACCGTTTTGCCTCGATACTTTTGATTAAAGTCAAAACCACGTCTAGAAGGTACACAGCGACCTGTCCATCTTACAGACGAAAGTTGATTTGACAAAACTGCGGTTCGAAATTGCTGCAAATTCTAGATGTCAATGTTATAGTGATATACTTATTCATGAGAAATTTAATGAACGACGTCTTTTATAAACGAGGTTTTTTATTGCATTTCAGATTGGTAAATCTGGTCTACCACATCCTCATATACTTACAGCTCACGATAAAAATAAATTTTCATGATGCCAATGTCAATGTAAATAGGGAATTTACAATCAAACCTCGAATGTTTGTAGAGGTTTCTCGCGATTTTGGTGATCTCGACGAAGAGTAGCCATATCTATAGCAGGAATATCAGCTTTTGTCAAAGGTATAGGTAACTCTGGTGTTTCCAAAATAAGCATTTCAGCAGCTGACATCTCTAGCACTTGTTTATCTCCATTATCGTGCAAAAACTCATCGGAATCATTGTCGTCACTTAATTTTATTTCCTGTAACTAATCATTTTATACAACTTTTTCAAACCAAAAAAAAATTTAATTAAACAAGGTGCTATTGACCAAATGTAAACAATAAAATTTGAAAAAAACGATTGGGCGTATCACTACATATTTAGAAAAAAGACGAAAATTGTCATTTTTTAGCGTGAGCTAACAGTTTACTTAACTAAGGCTAAAATACAAGCAACATACATTTTTGTTAAAAGTTCCTTCAATATCAGATGCGTTGTTTTCAGATACAAGAACAGTTTCATTGGTCTGCTTTTGTTCCTCGTCTTCAGCAATTTTTCCGCTATCAGACATTTCTTGATTACTAAAAGAAACTTCTACCCGCGGCATAACAGACTGCTTTTTTCTCCCTCTCACAGGTTTTCTTCCGACTTTAGATTTTCTTCGGCGACTTTTTACTTCTGAAATACTTTCTTGTACAAACACCTCGTTTCTTTCATCGTTATCCAGATGTTCATCGACAACTAAATTTGGTATTTCATCCGCAATTTCTGTACATGCCTGCTCAACTTCTATACCGGATGACGGAGAAGCATCCTGCAAGAGAGAATTATGCGAGAAAAATTAGTGAAACATGAATAAACGTGATTTTTAGCGATAAAAAAATTACTAACAAATAGGTTTGGTTCTAGAATTCTATAAATAGTAACAAATCCAACTAAATTATGAACTTGATTTGGGGTAAGCGACAACGCTGTTTGCTTTACTCTTCCACGTCCCTGACATCCACCTCTTCTTCTGCTTCCACGTCTCTGTCTTTTGCAAATTGAAGATGTGTTGTTTTTGATGTGAGAATCTATATCATCGTCTACTGATGTATCTGCTGCCACAATCTGTAACTCCCCTTCATCAAAATTTGATAGTAGCAATTCACTGGAAACTTCTGATTTCAAAGCAAGTGCCGATTCCGGATGTTCCATCTCCAAAGAGTCGTGCGGTGTTCCCTGAAGAGATAAATTAAAAATTTCACCTATACATTATGTTCCATATGAAAAGTTGTATTTTTTTAATTTTATTCAGAGAATCATGATAGTGCTTGGTTAGACAACATATACATATAAACACACAAATGAACTGCAGTCAAAAATTTTCACTCGTCAAGTTTTTAGGCAACATACATCCGTATTTCCCGTTATTATGGCTTTGCTTCTTTCTTGCACTGCACTTCGCTGTATGTCATCGATAGATTTTGTTGTTGAACTACTAACCTGAAAAACTTGATCTTAATCTGATTTGGAGTAATATATAAATTTAAACAAATAGCAGCAATTAAAACAAAGAGAAATTACTCCTCTACTCCGCCTCTGCTTGGCAGCTTGCTTTTTTTCAGTCTTGGATGATGTTTCGTTTACTGGGGACCTTTCTGTTTTCATAACAGTTTTTAGCTTATTTCTCGTGACTCGACCCACGTCAGGAGCAAGATTACACAGTAACTGAAATCATTTTAAAACAATAGAACAAACAAAAATGGTGTTCAATACTGACGAGAACTTAACACTTGGTATTCATTGAATTTGGAAACCTTATTTATGGTTTGCGGTGAGAGTAACCATCAGAAATATTTATTAATTGTTTAAACACTATATTGTTACTGCATACCAACACTTATTTATCATAAAATACGAAGTATCAAATTCTATGTATTTTTCTACCGCTTTAACACCGTCACATATCGATAAATCATCAAAATTTAATTTTTAAACAACAAAAATAAAAGATTGACGGACCTTTTCAGTTTCGGTAGGAATTCGATCTGGAATATACAGCCTACCAAGCTCACGATTTTCACAATCGCCAAATCGATTCCACTCATCTGGTGTGAGTACTTCCACTGTCTCGTACTCCCAATGAGCATGTCGATTGTTTTTTTCATTACTGTCTTCCTGAAACACCACAAAAGTTATGTTCCTAACCGCTACGTACTACATATAATTGGTAATATTTTAGAGATAAGACTTAAGCAGAGAAATGTTTAGCTTCATTTAGAACCTTCGAATTCCATACATTTACAGCAGTAAGTAAAACTTGCTGATGTATCGTTACTTCTACTTGTTGAAGGTCGACAGTATCCTTCATTTTCGTCGTTTTTCGACTTCTGACTGAGTTGATAGTCCAGGATTAAGCTCTCACAACCACCTGTCAAATTTTCATACGGCTCCCAGCTATCTTCACTACCAGAAAAACCTTTCCACCGTACCTTATAAAGTTTCTGTCCGCTCTCTGCTGTTTTAATACCAACAATTTTTTCGACCTAATCAATAATTAATAATTGAAGAAAACCAGATGAGAAATTTAGCAAGATACATTGATGACAATCAATGAAAAACATCGCTTAACAAATTACATTCAATAAGTGAATCCATTAGCTGCAATCATGGAGAAGCAGCAAATAAATGATAGCAAAATGTTTTCATGAAACTAACAACAGATTATAGTAGGAACCTAGAGTAGACTATAATGAAAAAAGATCTAAGAAGTTTAATTTTTGCGAGCAATTCATGGCACTATACGTAACCACGAATCACTCATTATGGATAAAACTGCAGCAATAACTAAAATATACCGCGTAAGTCCGAACAACTTTTGCACCGCCTCGACTAGCACGAATAAATTTTTTCTTTACTATATGAGGAGTATGAGATGCGCTACTCATATGGGATCTGCATCAATCACACTTCATACTTTCAGCAATACCATGGTGGTATACAATATCATCGACAGAGAACTAAAAAATAAAGGCATCTTTCAGCACTCTAAAAGATCGAGTGAGTACGGTAAAAATACGAGCTCTTATGGAAAGTTGCATGAAGCAAAAAGTAATCACAAACTTGAAGTACCTCAGTTTCTATGTTCTTCCAAGAAAGTGACAACAACACAAATTTAATAAAAATTATAAGAATAAAAAATATCACAAAATATGGCACTAGTGAATAAAAGATGTGATCATATTGACAATCTCATAAATTAATCAAATTTAGCAGATAAATTCCTTGAAAGTGAGCAAAAAATTATAGAAATGTAGATAAAAAATATAGCATTGAAGTGTAGCCTAAAAGTAAACACATAAGAAGTGACGTGTTCAGTCGCAGCTTCTAAACATGCACACAGCTATATTAATTAACTACATCTCCCGCTAAAAAACCCAATTCATGGCCAATACTTATGCTTTGCTACATCTTGTGCTACCACGATGATATCAATATGAAAACACAAATCTTTTCAAGAGCATCAAATTTTTGCATTCAATGAGAAAAGAAAGTAAGATTTCGAGGATAACGGTTGCATGACTTATGACTTATTTTACATGAGACGTTCAAAATCTTGGCAATATGATAGTTAGATATAATATTTCAAATAAATAAAGTGATTCAAATTACATTTCATTTGATGGTGTACTACTAAAAACACTACTATTTGAAGAGTAGTCTGAAAGTGAACCCAAGAAGTGACGTGTTTAGTTGCAGTTTACACGTAAACTGACCATTATAACAGGCAAAAGGCAGTTGGAAGACCTTAAGAGTGCCATTTGCTGAGGTACAAATAGGAATAATAGAATAAATTTAAGATTTGACCGAATACAGTAATTGCAATATAGAAGTAAATTACATGCTTGAAAATTAAACTGAATGTAATAATTTAGCTAATCAAAAAAATTTCAAAAATGATTTCCACTCAAATTGCAAAAAATTTTCAATAAAAATTTACATTATAAATTCAAAAGTAACGAAGACGAAGTTTCAAACTGAAAAAATTCGAAATGCAAAAAATTGGACTTTATCAATACGGAAATTTTCAGTTCAAATAAATTTATACTAATTAAAAATTGTTCATTAAAATGCAATATTAAAGTAAAAACTGAAGAACTTTAGTTTTGAATGTATGGAATGTGCACAAAGTAGTAACGACGCAGAGTTTTTTCTTTAAATTGTACCAATGTTTAGAGAATTGAATAAGAAAATACTGAACTTGATGAAATTTTTATCTTCATCAAATTTCTCATGAAATTACCGTAAACTCAGCAGCCGCATCAGATATTCCACTGTAGAACACAATAATGCTGACAAACAATTTATCGTAATATTCTAAACGACGACAAAGAACACGTAAACGTTTATGTCGATTTTACCATACCTCAGCTATCCGCAAAGTTGGTATTCCGTGGCTGGCCTTAGCAAGTATTAAGGTGTTTGTGTCAATTATTTACGCTTCAAATTTTTGTTGATTACTTTTGTTATTTTGCAGTTGTAAAACTCAATTACATTTCTGTAATTTTAAGTCATATTTTCTAAGATCACATTTTTGTATCTTATTTTTCATAGCGAGATTTTGGCATACTGTAATACTTTATAAGGCTTCTGTAATCAATTACACCATAAAAGTTTTTTGCTTCTCAATTTGATTACGTACTTCGCACAGTCATACTTACTGCTTAATACTCTTAACTCATAAAAGCTATACTCGAAAAAAATTGAGCTTTTCATTTCAATTACTGTGTTTATTAATTATAATTAATTATTTTGTATTCTAAAACTTTTTTTCTCGAAGTTTGAATCAAAATTCCGTGTAACTCATTTTATCAAAAAAATTCTGGACAGTTGGATAGCTACTAATTATAATAGTGAATCACTGAAATCGAAGAGATAAAAACGCTTCACTGATTTTTATATTTGAATACAAAAATTGCTACAATTTTTTTTGATCATAACATAAATTTGAAAATTGTTGAAATTTTTGATCGTAACATAAATTTGAAAATTGTTGAAATTTTTAATCATAATATAAATTTGAAAATTGTTAAAATTTTTAATCGTGAATTTAATTTTTTTTGCTATTTGGTTATATATTTGGAAAAAGAAACTCACATAAGTGAAAAAAAAAGACTTTATTCAACAAAAGTTCAGTAAGGCAAAAATTGATTTGAAAAAGTTAGTACTGAATTGAGGTAAGGTTATCTGACCTAATGGCATGAATGTATTTAAGCATTTACTAATTAATAATTGATTATGTATTTACATATTTTTAGTATTATTATATTAGTCATCGAAATGACATTGTTAATAATAAAAGTTATGTAAACGCATTATCAGCTGCATAATTTGTACAACTTAATACTATTTGTCTAGCAGATAGTACTGATTTATGTACTAAGCATTTATGCACTACAGTAATGACAGAAATGTAAACAGTTTTTGTAAGTTTGCCTAGGTAGCTTATTCAATCGAAAAGCAATAGTTTCACCATTTGTTGTATGCTTAATAAAATTTTTGGATTAAAGTTCAATAAAACTTTTAAAGTGATGAAGTCATATTTTGGTGAAGATAGTTCTCAGCGGTGTTGAATGAAGTAAACTTTGATTACATTAACTTACTTACTTTCGGATATGATTGTTGTAAGCGCTCATTATTCTTTTTTTAATAAATAAAAAATGTAATTTGATTGTGATTTGTTTGCATTTAGATTTGCATTGTTATAATGTTTTGATCTCGTGAATCTTATTGATGATGTGACAAGTGAATTGTTTATTTATATTAAAAAATCTATTCCTGTATTTCAAAAATATTTTTTTGCATCTTCATAATTTCAGCAATTATGAAATGAGATTTCAATGACTTCGTAAATATGATGATTCATAATTTTTAGGAAGCATTGGACAGTATTCTAAAGAAAGTGTTGGTCGGGGATTATTTGTGTTGGCCCTGTGCCGTTTGTTCCTTCAGGAAGATGTCTTCATCAGCACCTTCAGCTACCATCGGAATCTCTCAGTACACTCTAGAGCGTGCTAATCGCACCCGTTTACTCATAGAAAATTTTTATGCTCAAACGCTAGCGCAGTGTCAGGAACGAGAGAAGAGGTTGCAGAAATTAGAAGAAAAAATGAATAAAGAAGGTTTGCTGGTATTATTTTTTAAATACCATTACTGATTTATTTAAATATTAATTTATAAATCATTGGAAGAAACCTAGGAAATCATTATGCTCTGCATTATTTTGATTTCTTTATTACGAAAAACTTAATTTGCTGCGAATGTTTTAACTCATTTCATGCATTGTTAAAATGCTGCAACAAACCTCTCTGTTAAAAAAAAATAAAAATGAAGAACTTAAGCTTTTTATTAGCAATACGGACAAAAAGAGTTGAGTGTTTCTTGCGAGGGACAGAATTCATGTTCTCCAATAACTTTTCAAACTTCTCAGTTATTCTATATGTAACATAGTTTTCATGTTTCAGGCCTTTCAGAATCTCAAAAGGAGGAACGACGTAAGATGCACATGGCAAAAGAAACTGATTTTTTACGTCTCAAAAGAACTCGATTAACCGTTGCTGATTTTACTTCTCTCAAAGTAATTGGCCGTGGTGCTTTTGGAGAAGTTAGTAGTTTATTAAAATAAATTATACGTTGCAAACTGATCAGTGCAAGTTTGTTAAAGATCTAATTAGTGAATTTATCTTTTTTCATCTTCAAAATTATCGCATTATTAATTATTAAATAAAAAGTAATGTCGTGACGATAGAAAATTGAAGTTTTTTTGTGCGTATGTTTAGGTGCGATTAGTTCAAAAAATTGACACAGGTCATGTCTATGCGATGAAAATTTTGCGGAAAACGGAAATGCTTGAGAAAGAACAGGTAACAAGATTATTATTCAGATGTAAGGGGCTGATTTTTCATGTGTTGGTATTCGCATGCGCGTCGAAAATTCTTTGACTTTTTTATGGATACTTTGACAGAATCTGTGAGTTCTTGATTTCGTATTATTCTTAATCCACACGAATTTCAGACTGCTCATGTGCGAGCCGAACGTGACATACTGTCCGAAGCAGACTGTGAATGGGTTGTAAAGATGTATTTCTCTTTTCAAGATCCACTGAATCTATATTTGGTTATGGAGTTTTTACCTGGCGGTATTTTCATACTCTTTATCAAAATATAATCAATGCGAAATGAAAGTATGCCGATTGTTGGTATTGTAACGAAATAAATCTGAAATTTCTGTTAGATTATCATTCATTAAAGGTGACATGATGACGTTATTGATCAAAAAAGATACGTTATCAGAGGATATCACCAAGTTCTACATCGCAGAAGCTGCTCTAGCTATTCAAGCAATTCATGACTTAAATTTCATTCATCGTGACATCAAGCCAGATAATTTGTTATTAGATTCAAAGGTAACTTCTTACTGCAATAACAAAAAGCTAATTTGGTTAATTTCTTAATATTCCTTCGTTCGCAAAACTTATATCATGTTTGTGATCGTAACCATTCAAAACTTGTGTCAATAATATAAAGAATAATTATAGTTGAACTGCCACCGGAAGTATTTTATAACTTCATTCTTGTGCAATATTGGGAGGGAAATGGGAAATTTTTTCCCATTTTGTTATTAACAGTTATGGAATTGGTTGTGTTAGCTATATGTATTAAATCAAGATATGTGGAAGCATATGTCTCTATATTAGCATTTTCTAGTTTCATTTATTACCAATCTTATTTTAGGGACATATAAAGCTGTCTGATTTTGGACTATGTACAGGATTGAAGAAAGCACATAGAACTGAATACTATCGAAATTGGCCAAGTCAGCTACCGAAAGATTTCGTGACCAAACCATTTGAATCAAAGCGAAAAGCTGAAACATGGAAAAGGAATCGGCGAACAATCGTATGACCATCTCTTAATTACATTAAATTCTATTTAAGTTATTTATTCATTATATATATTATGAATGCTTTTGATATATTTTTTGAAAAAATATATTTTTAGGATATTGTTATTTGAACCCTTAATTTGTAAGTATTTATAACTGAATTCATTGCTTGACTTTGGTAGTTTAATGCAACTATTTAAGAATCTCCTAGGTTCTATTAGGTTAATTAGTGTAGTTATAGGCTTACTCAACGGTTGGCACACCAGATTATATTGCACCCGAAATTTTCCAGTCGAATGGTTATACAAAAGCTTGTGACTGGTGGTCTCTAGGCGTTATCATGTTCGAAATGCTTATAGGTAGTAAATTCTTCAGTTGTGTTAAATTTTATGCTTCCAGAAAACAATTCATATTAGTTTATAAATACGTGGAATTCGAAGTTGATAGTTTCTTATCATTAATCACTTAGTAAAAAAATACTTTGAATTATAGGTTATCCACCGTTTTGTTCGGAGACACCCCAAGAAACATACCGAAAAGTTATTAACTGGAAACAGACATTAGTTTTTCCAGCAGAAATGCCGATTTCTGTTGATGCGAAAACAGTATGTTAATTTATATGAAATAATCAATGATTATAGGACTTGAACTACTGTCTGATAAATAAGTGGCTTTGACTACACTAATAGTTATAATGATAGTCATTTCACATTTTTGGAGAATCAGTGCTTTTTGCTTAGAATTTATACTAAACTCAGTTAATGTTTGGTCTTCAGACGATCAAAAAGTTTTGCTCGGAGCCAGACCATCGATTGGGTCACAATGAAGGAATCCAAGAGTTGAAAGTATGTCCATTTTTTCGTGGAATCGACTGGAAAAATATCAGGTGATTAAAAAAATAAAGTGTATTGTTATTTTATACAGTTTAAGTAGTCAACGGAATCTCATTTATTGTAATATTTGCTAAAATTTTGGAGCTTACTATTACAATATGTTTTTTTTTCAATTTTGAAAATTCAGCCTTTTCATAATTTTAATTTCTGAATTGAAACCGTTTTTTTGCTATCGAATAGTAAAATGTTATTTAAAGTTTGTTGCTTTTTTAACCATTTTTTTTCTGTAGAAAGTGTCCTGCACCTATTCGTGTTGAGGTAAAAAGCATCGATGATACTACAAATTTCGATGAATTTCCTGATGCCGATTTACGAATTCGTAAGTCAATTTTACTTTTGTGTGTTACAAGTTATGGTGAAATTTAAATAGTCTTGATCATATTTTTCACTAAATTTGATCATATTTTGGTCATATTTTTCATTAAAATTTTGTTTCCGCTGAATACAAACCAGATGTTGGGGCTACTAAGCAAAGACCTGGTGACAGAGGAGAGTTTTCAAATTATACTTATCGGCGATTTGATGGTTTAACTCAAAATCGTCACTTCAAAAAGAAATATGTATGTTCAAAGTTTTTTGGCAATTTGCACTGTTTAAATGATAAACAATCATCGCACTTTAAATACACCATTTCTTTTATAATATTAAGTTGATGCTAACTTGTATTTTAATGGGACGATAGTGGTGTCCTCCAATCAATGACTGCGTATTTTTGTCCAACAAATACTAGGGTATTTCACAGAGGAATCAAGACCACATTACTCAAACTTAAGGGAATGACGTTTGTTTGAAATTGTTTGGATCCATTCGTTATTAATGGTAATTCTCTAAAATTAATATGCAATTTTTTAATTTTTTCATTATGATAACTCTGCTTTTGATTAATGTTTTGTAGATAGTCAGTAAAAATTTGAAGGATCATTCAATGTCATCATCAGTAGCATTCAGTGCTGCAACATCGGAAGAATTATGATTGACACTGCAATGAATTTTTAAATAGTTTCTTAAAACCACTATCACTACTGTTATGTTTAAAATTTGAAAATACCTTACAATGACTTATTGTTTTCTCACTTCAAAATAGTGGTAGGTAAACGTAAATGGGTTTTTGCATTTATCTTCTTGAAATGAAAGTGAATAATTTTTTAGATTCTTACACAGTTAACTATCTTTATTTTCAAAACTTCACAGAATGTATGTAATGTTCATAAATTGCTTATGGTGCGGAAACGGTGACGATATATTATTGTACACATTTAGCAAATGTCATGTAATGTCAACAGGTGTCGCAGTTTACTTGTAAATTTACACAATTCAGGGAGGTAATATGTATCTTTTTTCGTTTCTTCTTTAATAATAATTGTTTCTATCACTAAGGTTATACATGTCAATGAATCTCTGATGGTGTAGCACTTTTTGTTATTTAATTGGTTGTACAGGAGCTTTCCTATTTTCGTCATATATATAGATAGATAATTAATATTATCTTCCGTTAGTTACTGTAAAAGCGTGAATAATTTTTTGATTGCCGCTTCTATTGCATTCTGAAGGTGATTTATGCTTTCTTGTATCACTGTATTTTTAATTTATGATCAGTGTGTGATAAAGATACGATATTTAGTTTTTGAAATTATAACTGTATTGTTAAAGAATAGAATAGTTTTGTTTACGCAGTATGTTCTCATCAGAGTATACCCTCTTCATTTTATGTGATATATACAGGTTATTACTCAGTTTTCTGAAGGAAATTATCGTGCCTGATTGAATTAGTGCCTTTGAGAAGAAAAAAAATATGTGAATTAGACTGGAAGTAATACTTTGTGATAAAGTTGTAATTGTGTTGTAACTGGTTCTTTCACAGGTTCTATTGTATTATACAGAGATTTAATGTAGTATTAGTAGTTCTGACTAATTTAGCAATTAAGATTTTCAGTATTGAATAGTGACGTGTGTTCTGGATCTGAAGGTTCTCCATACAAGTGTCTTATTTTATTAATTCTGAGCACTTCAATCTATTTGTAAGCAAATTTCGGGGTATTGATTTTAAGTTTGCTTGGTTTTCAAGTCTTACTTCATTTGCTGTATGTAATGCCTTCTTTATTAATATTTTTTGGTATGAGATTTTGCATTTTATTACTTTATAATCTGTGGAATAAGTAAAAAAATAATGGGAGTGGTTTTTCTAAAATCTGTTCAGCAGAATCTATCTTGTCTGTGTTGCTAAGAATCTTGAAGCGGTTTTTAATTGTATTTAATCGAAATAATGCTTTATTGCTTCAAGTTATTGTGTTAAATAGTAAAAAAATTCACTGTTAACAGTAGTATGTAAGATTTTCTGAGGCGGTTGACTTTCCGTTTGACATCACAATATTTTTTGTCATCTTTATGGTAGTCATAATTCTCTGTATTATTTGGATTCTTGGTTACTTTTACTAGAAAGATTGATTGGCTTAGTAAGATAAAGTTTTTTTATAATTAGGTTATAGTGTACATTATAGTATTTCTTAGTTTACATTGGTTGTAGTGAAAATTTTATTTTCAAATTAAATTATTACTGATAATGTCTAATATTTCAAGACTAATAGGTATTTTTTTGGGTAAATCAGTTATTAATTAAGTTGAAATTGCGTTCTGCACCAATTATGAAAACAAGATGTTCTTTGGGCTCTTATTCGACTTTGATATCATCAGAATTAGGATGTCTTTAAAATTTGATTGCTTATCTGGATTGGATTATTTGAGTAGAAATAGTTATATCACAATAGAATTTTTTTTCTGTTCTTTCAGTCCATTAGTTTCTGAAATTTCATTCAAATTTTTTTAGCAAGTATTTGTAATTAACTGTTTTGGACTAATTTTTCTGTTGTGTTTTATAAATAAGCAATAATTAAAGATTTATTAGACAATTTGCATTTATTAGATATTGCACAATTTTATTTGGTTTGAATTTAAATACTTATGATTACATTTCAGTATATCTATTCGATTGTGTGAATGTGGATTGTACTTGAAAATTAAGAATCAAGTCATTAAAATAACTTGGTGAATGTTATAAAGATGCGGACATTCTCACGCCACTTACTGCTAACTGTTGTGGGTGTATTCATCTTGATTAGTTTGATGTTATATAACTCGTTGGAAACCAGAAGTTTCAAACAGAAACAAAGTTATCTAGATGAGCAGGTATGACATATATTTGCGTACAATATTTCTCAGTCTTCTTATCGGATTTATCTACTAGCTTTTTTCAGTACTTTAAAAATTGTTAAAGCCATATAATTTAGTTTAAACCAGAGAACTAATATAATTTGTTTTAAATATTTTCTTTTATACTCCAATTCCAATTTTGATATTTTGCGAATTGTTACTTTAAGTGAACAAATTTTGTTATCCTTTTTATGCTTGTATCATAATTGACAGAAACAGCTATCCGCATGGAAAATCATGCTTTTTTATTCATAGGTATCATTTGTTTTGTTTCATTAGAAATTATTATCATTGCAGGAAATACAATGATAGTAATTATAATAAATAATAATAATAGCAATAATAATAACGATAGTAGTAATTTGAATGTTGTTATTCTCTTTCAGATTTTTGGTTTTCTAAGCGGGCAAAAGATACAATTTAATTCTCATAAAGTTGATGTTTTTACTCATTGCTGATGTAAATGCTCATTTTTTCAACTTTTTTTGGATAACAGTCAGTGATTAATAAAAACCCCGAAATTAAACATAATTTGAAGTGTGATATTTTCTTTAGTTTTGAGAACAAAAATTCAAAGCATTTACATGGCTGTGAGTGGCAATGTTACAAATGCTACAAAGCAAAAAGACATAGACTACATATGAATATGATTTTTTGAACCTATAGCTGGAATTGCAAAAATTGGAGACCGAGGTCCGTCTACTAGAAAATAAATCGAAGCAAAGTAGTATTTTGCTAAACAGTATGTTGAAGAAGGTTCATCTAGAACGCCAGCAGTGGAAAGAATCCCAAGATATATTTGGAGGTTTTTCAGATCTTACGCAAACTCATTTATATTGTGATCAACTAGAATTGTTTGCTTTTGTTCTTAAATTCCCGTCTTACAAATTCTTTCGCTTTATTCTAACTTCAAACGTGTAAAGTGTATACAAGTGTTATTAATGTAGGAGAAGCCAAAAAGTTTGAAGGAAGACAAGAGCCCGTAGGCAGAATTCGTACCAGTTTCATGAATTCATCAGAACGGTTTAAGCAAAAAGTAATTATTTGCATAGATAGAAACTTGTACATATAGTTTACTTGACTATAAATCATTGCATATCTGCAGTTCTTCTGTTGATACATTCAGAAACTGGAATATAAGCCAGTGACACTTTTGCATGAAGTACCATTGAAATGATATGGTAATTTTTAGATTGAACAACTTCCTGTTGCGACAGGAACTACAAATAATTATCAAAAGCAGGCGGTTCAAGGAGTTATACATCCTCCGATAAAAGCGAAAGGACAAAAAATGAATGATGAAGTACGTTTTGATATTAAGACAACAAAAATCTTAATAAATTTTTATGCTAATCAAATATCCTTCAAGAAATTTCATCGCACTAGATTTCTCATTCTAATCAAATGTGTTTTTAATAATCTTATGAAGTCTACTTTTAAAAGTTATAGTTTTGATTAGGTTTGGGTTGACAATTTCAAACAATTGATGAATCGTACTTCTTTTATCTCGACTAACCCGTGTTTTGCTATGGATTCGATGACTAGACCTGATAGCAAAATTCAGGTAATAATATTCTTGAGAAATTGTGACTAAAAAAAATTTTTTTGATTTTCTTCTGTCATATTATTATTACTTACCAGATTATATCTCGTTCCTTTTTTTAATTTCAATTCTACTTCAAGATCGGTAGGTTGTTTTGAATTGTTTTTTTAAGTTTCGAATTCTATTTCAGTAGGTAAACCGTAAATTTTTGATGCCTAAAAATTGTTGTATAATCATCACTTTTTCACTTATTAAATACATTCACTGCTTTTCTTAATTCATCTTAGATGCTGGATATGTATAGTGAACTTCCATTTGATGATCCAGATGGGGGAGTTTGGAAGCAAGGTTACGATATTACATACGATAAAGTTTTAGTAAAAGATCAAAAACAGCTCGAAGTTATAGTCGTACCTCATTCTCATAATGATCCAGGTTATTACATGATATTTTAATATAATTTTTATCTTTATTGTTATCTTCTTCGTCGAGAAATGCACAGTGTAATTTTTCACTTGCCAGATATCTAGAAAAGTACTGCTTGTGATGAATCAATTAATTCTTAATGCAATTGCTTGAAAATTTAGAATTAAATTGTTAAACCGTAGTTTATAAAAATGGTTCAAAGAAAGATGATGGATAAAAGTTTTCAGGTTGGATAAAAACTTTTGAAGAATATTATGAGGTCCATACACAAAACATATTAAACAATATGCTAACTAGCTTACAAAAGATGGACGAAATGCGATTTGTTTATGCAGAAATGAGCTTTTTCGAAAAGTGGTGGGCAGAAATTGATGAGAAAAGCCGGGAAATTGTAAAACAGTGAGTTATTAGGCCACAAGATTCCGATATAATTGAAAATTCAGTCTAATTTTAGTGTAATAAAGTAAGAATAAAATGTAAAACAAGCTTGAGAGGGAAATAACTTTTTTCCAACTATTTTTTTTCATCAATTGTAGGTTATTGAAATCAGGAAAGTTGGAAATATTGACTGGCGGCTGGGTAATGCCTGACGAGGCTAATTCTCATTATTATGCAGTAATCAGTCAGTTGATGGAAGGGCATGAATGGATCCAAAATCATATCGGAAAAGGTATTGTATTATTTTGCTTTATAGTACTAAGATCAAAATTAGTATTTTGGCATCGTAGTTTACAGTTACAATATTTGTTCTGAATATACTTGAGAGTATTTCTCAGATAAACGCTTTAGCAGGGGATTCTTTGTGATTTAATGTTTTATAATCCATGTAAAGTTTATGTCACTGATAAAATGCTATGCTTAAACGAATTCGTAACAATATAGTCTGGTTTCTATATAAATATATAATTTAGATTACAAACCAAAAAATCATTGGTCCATTGATCCATTTGGTCTAAGTCCAACGATTCCCTACTTTATGAAAATGTCCAATCTGTCCAATGGTGTAGTGCAACGAGTACACTATTCAGTGAAAAAGTATTTAGCTGAAAAACAGGAATTGGAATTTATGTGGAGGCAGTTATGGAGTGTGTTGCAAGTTTATTTCTAGTTTTTTCAAAAATAGTGAAATATTCTTGATTTTCATAAATATATGTCGTACTCGCATATTTCTTAGGTTTTTATGAATAGCTTCTGAGAAGAAAAAGCTGCTCTTTTCATAGTTCAAGTATGCATTGAATTTCAGTAGCTTTCAATTTCGTTTTTTGTTTTACCTAATTGTTTTTTGGTGGCATCTGTTACCAAACCGGTCGCTTTGCTACATCAACAACCGGTATGGAAAATGCCAAAATTATTGCGGGGCCTTTGAATAAAGTTTCAAGTTTTTAGTTCTTGAAATGTCTGCAGAAGCTCTCACACTTGATTTCTTTAAATTTGCTGCAAATTTAATATCCTAGATAGCAAGCTTCTTAAATAATTAAACTTTACTAGTACTAAAAGATTAAACCATGTAATATGATATATTAAAAAGTCTTTCTTTAAACTTCAGTCACAAGTTCATGGAGAGGATAATTAAATCCGTACTCAAGGTAGTTTTTGTAATATACTCAAGATGAGTAAACCTATTTCAATAATTTGCCGTCAGCAAGTTTATATGGGATGAGATAGTTCAATTAATATTATATCTATGTTATGTTTTTTTCAGGAACTTAGAAAGACCATTTGTATCAAATCTAAATTAATTTTACTGTTTTATTTTTGTTGACTAACTAAGCATTAAATGAATTACATTTAGAAATAATAATCGTATTTTTAGGTGGTTTCAGCAATACAACAGATTTTACAATGCATGTGATGCCGTTTTTCTCATATGATGTACCTCACACATGCGGTCCTGATCCAAAAATATGTTGTCAGTTTGATTTTAAACGAACTGCTGAAGGTGGTTTAAGTTGTCCATGGGGAATTGCAGCAGTTGATATTACTAATGCAAACATTAAAAAGAAGTATAGTTTAATTGTATATTTGTAATTCTCTCAACTTTTTGCAAAACTTTTTCAAAACCTGTATCACGTTAGCTTTATTTATGCAGCATGGTTTGTTTGCATATCAGTTATTGGTGGGTTATGTTATATTAATGCCATTTTAATGGTAGATTGAATTAAATTTTAGAGCTGCTGTGTTATACGATCAATATCGAAAAAAGGCTCAGTTATTCAAAACAAATGTTGTTCTAATACCACTTGGGGATGATTTTCGTTATGATAGTAAATTTGAGTGGAATGCTCAGTATGAGAATTACATTAAATTATTCAAGTATATGAATGCTGAGAAGGAATGGAATGTGAATGTTAGTATGTTTTTGTTGTTCAGATTTAAATTGACTTGTGTTTTGAGAATTAATATAAAGGTGATAAATATTGTTTTGAATAAGGAGTCTAAAGTAATAAGATACTTTTCATAGATATTATAATTATAGTAGATGATAGATGATTTGTTCTCTTGAATTGTAAAATACATCTCTCATCATTTTTTAGGCTCGTTTCGGAACATTAAATGATTATTTTCAATTAGTTCACCAGCGATTGCACGAAGACAAAACTGATTTATCTGTTTTGTCAGGCGATTTTTTCACTTATGCCGACCGCAACGATCATTATTGGAGTGGTATGCACTATGCATAGAGAAATAATGTTTCAAATTATTTAAAAACTCATTGAAGCGATTGCTTTTCGACGTGTGTTGGAAACGATTCAACTATTTGTTTTAACATTCATAGCAGTTATAGATTCAATCAGATTGATTGTTTTCAGGATATTACACAAGTCGCCCATTTTACAAGCGTTTGGATCGGGTATTACAGCATTATGTTAGGTTTGGTTTGCTAAGAAATCTGTTACGGGCAGAATGCTTTGTAAACTTTTAGGATATTTTACGAGCAAGACATAGTTTCGAGTATTTAATCAAAAGTTTTAGAAACATTAATTCGCAAAAACTTACTTCAATTAAAAATTAATACCTGAAGTGTTACTAATTGTCTTTTCAAAAAAAAATGAAAATTATTGTCTCTCTCATTATACCGTTGATTGAACATTTTTTATTCTGTTTCCGCAATTATTGCGACATCTTTTGATTTTTCAAGTATTTATATTCAGGACGGCAGAGATTTTGTACAGTTTTACAAAAATAATACAATCAGAAAGGAATATTCCTTCACGATTTTTTGGATTACTAGTAGAAGCGCGACGATGGATGAGCTTATTCCAACATCACGATGGCGTTACAGGCACGTCGAAAACTGTTGTCATGGATGATTACGGCAAAAAGTTCGATATGCAAATTTGATTCGATCTGAAACTGTCTTCATTTCTTATTATTTTTTCTAGTTTCTGCTTTTGTTTTACAAATAATTACGAAAATAATACTTCTTTCTGCATAAAATTGCTTTACTAGAGACTGCTCATTTTATTTGCAGAATGTTTACCGCATTAAAAAATTCAGAAGAAATAATACTAATGGCAACTGATATTTTATTACGGAAACAAATATCACCAAAATTTTCGAGTGTTCCGAGGTTATCTATGGTTAGTTAGAGTTCTTTCGTTTATACACAGTTTGATTTCAATATTTTCGGCTAATTAATATCTTTTACTTATTGTTTTAGTCACAAATAATATAGTTTGTTTTATAGGAATTTGGTTAATATTATGATGTTTCTATTCAGCAAAATCATTTAGCTTATGTTTTCCACATGTCTAACTATATGATTTTTAGTTTTCGGTCAAGCAAGTTTCAGTATTGTTCAATTAAAAAAAATTTATTGCTTTAAAATATTTTTAGATTTGTAAAAATTTGAAAAAGATAGAAATTTCAGGAACAATATTTTAAAACATTCGATTCGCTTCCAAGCAAACGAACTGTGAATCAGAAGAGGTTAGCTACACTTAATTTCTGAAATCTCCATTTTTCATCCAAATGTTTAAGTGAATGAGTTCGACTTTTTGAGTTTTGTGCAGCAGTTTTGACAGATACGTAAATTTTCATTGCATTATTTTAAACGATTTTTTTTCGATTTCAGTGAAATGATTTTATTCAATTCTCTGGAAAATTCAAGAGTTGAGACGGTTTGTGTACACGTTAATAATTTGAATACAGTTGTTGAAATAGCAGGGTCAAATATACCAGTTTTGCAACAAATTGGTCCGTTAATTGAATTTATTGACGGTGACTGGGTTATTGATACCAGCTTATATGAGGTTCAGTTGATTTTTTAATTAGTTATTACTTCATTTTTGTCCATATATTGATTATAATTCGCTGTCAATGTTGTATTTCAAAGCTATTTTTTTCAGTTGTGTTTCATTTCCATGATGGAACCATTAAGCTTCAAAAAATACGTGCTTAAAGCAGGTACAGCAATTAGCAAAGCAATCATTCGATTGAATTTCACTGGATTGGAGAGCAGGTTTGCTTATAATTTATTTTTTGTCTAATGAAAAGATATGTAGTATAGTATGATATAACGTAATATATTATATAAGGTAGAATGGTAATTTTCGAATTAGTAATCAATCGTAGATGATTCAACTCTTTCAGACTTACTTATTCTTTGTAATTAAATCATATATTATTGATCAATTTATTAAGTTCGAAGAGAAGCACATAATGTCTGAGCAGAATCAAATTATGGTGAAGTAATGTCAATTACATGTGTTTGAAAACTCGTCACTTTTTTATATCTCTCACGCTTATATTTCTTCCTTCTTCAATTTTTCTCTTTGTGGTATATATTTTAAACTTCTAAGCATTTAATTTAGCGACTTTGATATTGC